ATGTGTGTCCCATCGGTGTCTGAATGTGATAAAACACTGGTTATTCTTTGTAAAGGTATAATAGAGTGCTGTACGAATGGGTAAATGAGTGCACAGATTGTGTTGTAAAGCGCTTTAAGTATCTTGATCAGATAGAAATAAACCATTAAGTGCAGTCCATTTATCTTTTTTTATGATTTAGGGAACAGCATGGACGAAAATAGATTTAAAAATGCCTGCCACAAAGGTGATTCTCAGTAGCCCCTGGCAATCTGGGATTTGATTGGTTTCAACTCGTCGTGTTGAGCTCCCTGGCTGCGGTGCTATTTTTAGCCTTGCACTGATCATTCAGAGGTATAACTGCAGCACTTCATAGACGTTCAAGGTTCACGTGAGAGGGTGCTTACTGACGTTGAAGAAGTCTTGACATTTGCTGCAGCAGCTCAATGTCTTTAGTTCCGTCTGTAGAAATCTGCCTAGACTGGAGCAAGTCTGCGCATTGACGGCAAGCATGTAAGAATGTCTTATCCCGTTTTAATCTCTACTCAAAGATGTTCAGATTATTTTGCTTATCCCTTAATTCCTAAACTACAAGGTTTGTGGGGGTGGGGGTGAATAGATATCTACTTCACAGGCTAATCTTTTGCTGAAATAACCCCCGGCTAAGACTTAAAGAACAACAAAACAAGTTTGCAAACTTTACCACCTCTTTTTTTATTTTTATTTTTTTACAATTCCTCCAAAGAAATGATAAAATGAAACAATTCTGCAAACTTTCTTTTATCTGCTTAAGAGAACAAACCCAACAAAGTTCAGTCATGTCATCTGAATGGTTTCTTTTTGTTGTTGTTGAGACGTTTCATCCTTCATCCAAAGGACTTCATCAATCATGGGAGCCACTATCAAACTGAGTCCCACAAGCAGCACAGTCACATAGTGAACCAACCAGTTTGCAGGTGATAAGATGGTTTTTGGGGCCCGCCCTCTCCCTCGTCAACTCCTATGAGGCAGCCATAGCCAAAGTGGTTCAAAACATCAAAGTTCATGCTCAATAATCCAGATAAAAAGGAGTTGATGTGGAAGAGGGTGGCAAACTGGTTGGTCCACTATCTGAGTGTGCTGCTTGTGGAACTGAGTTTGTTTTTGGCTCCTTGGATTGATGAAGTCCTTTGGATGAAGGACAAAACATATCAATAACAAAAAACAAACAAAAAAAAACATCCAGATGACCTGACTGAACTTTGTTGGATTTCTTACCTGGATTATTGAGCATGAATTTTGAACATAAAAAAATCTGGGGTGGAAATCTCAAGCTGTAAGAGAAGCTTGTGAAGTTTTCTTTAAAGTTAATAATCAACCGTTTTTGACATTTCGTTTAGTTTTTAAAGTCAAGGCCTTCAGTAAATCTATACTTTACCCAAATAATTTCATGAATTTAAAGCCTGTTTTTTTCCAGGAAACTTTATTATCTAAATTATTTAAAATAACTAAAAGCAAATTTTTGACAGCATGAAAGTTGATATAAATGTAGCTGCATAATTGGTAAGAAACATTCTGAGTTTTTGCTGCTGGTGTTAAAATCTGTACCTCCATTCTTTGCAGCTGCTTTAGCCTATAAATAGGTCCACATCTGCCGGTTGTGTGGTCAGGCAGTATATGCAGCAAGCCTTGAGCTGTCGTTTGAACACGATAAGAGCGTAGGCAGACTGAGTAACTGAGTGTTTCTGTGTGCATAGTGACTGTGTGACACGCTCATTAATACATGTTCCACCATCACAAGGACAAACTAAGACCAAATAAGGGCAAGCATGACACGGCAACAACTCCTCTTTGTGCACCGGCAAATGTTCCTCATCATCTCACTGCTATCTCTATACTTCTGATCCTGTTTAGCCCTCTCATGCTTGTTTTTTTTTTTTTTTCGTTGTGTGCTGCAGTCACTTGTTTTTTTTTATTCTTCTATTTGCTCGCAGCCTTAATCTTATTTTCTTATGTTTTTTTCCACTCTGCATCCTCCACCGCTGCCGCCTCATCCATATTCTGCTCACCCAGCCCTCCCATCTGTTTATGTCCGTCCTCTTCACCCCTCCCTCCTCTCATCGCTGTGGCAAGGTCCCGACTGCCACTCGCAGAGGGATGCAGCGAACAAAAGAGCACATCTAAAAAGGTTAACTTTTCCCCGTTGTCACTCAGCGCTCACTAGCCTGACACGCTTCTAGTGTAAGAATTTTGAGGCCCAACATTGATCCTCGCATCATCATCGACTGCGCATAACTCCCCCCTCTCTGCAGAAATTGAACCTCGCTGAAATCATTCACTTCTGTGATATCCGATTATCAGGAGCACAGCTGTAAACGGTAATTAAGCATGTTAAATGATATCCAATCAGGGCAGATGAGGGAAAGTTCACTGAGAGGATAGAAATGCAGAATTATTTTCAACCTAGCACTCATTGAAGGGATGCACAACACCTGCTGCCTTTCAGGCCAGAGTTTTAAATAAAAGTGTTCTACGTCCCACTTTGGTCCATGTTTGTAAGTATTACTAATAATCTCAAAGCCTATTGAGAATCACAACAACAGTTAGAGCCCAGAGAGTGTATTATGTGTTTGCTAAGGCTGATAAGGCAGCCATCTTGAATTGGTCTGACCCCAAATGGTAGAGTTAAACAGGCAATTAATAATTTCTAAGAGTTCCACTCAATTCTACCCAGTGTTTCTTGGGATATTCTTCTAACAGCCAGAGTGTTGATTTTACCAAATCATGTCTACGTTTGGAGAAAAGATCTTGTCCAATGTGTGGCGGTCGAAGTTTGTGTTCGGGGTAACTTCTATCTAAAACTATACCTAAGTTTTATGTTAGCTAATGGCAATTAACTGTAGTGGCCATGTTGAATTGTGTTTACTCCATAAGTTAATAAGTTGTAGATGTGCATCAAGATGTTGATCAGCTTTTTGGGCTGTCCATGGTCCAAAAGGCTGATGAAAGTTCTGAAAAATCGTCCAACTGTCAGTCACAACAACAGATTCACAGAAGGGTTGATAAAGTTGATCATCTCATATGTAGATGATACCACGTTATATTCATTTAAAAATGTACAATTTCCCTCTTGATTATTTTATCAACTGCAATATTTAGCCAAGTTTTATGAATCGTTCTCCAAAAGTCTCCATTCTGGTAGAAATCCGTAAAGGTTTTTGGTGCTTTGTACCATGAAAAAAAGCTTATAGCAAAGGGTTTGTATTTTGCTTAATATTGCTCATTTTGAAAAGATTGTTTTTCATCCGTTTTGCTGTTAAACCTAAACATTAAATAAAAAAGGATTACCAACTAATTTGCAGAAAGTCTGCATCGACCTCATGAGCCTGCTGGTCAAAATGATACCATTCTTAAACTGCTGTTGTGGGCCACACAAAATCACCCCAAGGGCCACAAATGGCCCTCGGGCCATACTTTGGACACCTGAGGCTTAGGTGGACATATTGAATGTGGTTGACTCCAAATATAATCAGTTTTCTATGTATATCCAGTGTTTCCATTCAGACAGTTTCATTAAATTCATGTAGTTATAAAATATTTTGCTAACACTACAAAAAAGACGTGGGAAAAAAAAACATTATTCTTGCTTCACCATTGACAGCTGATAAAGAAAAGTATCACAAAGAATTTCTGCGAGCTGAAACACACTGGCTTTGAGCTAAAATAAATAAATAAATAAAGCATCCAAGGATTGTCATGAGAAGCCATTGTTAGGATAATTAACACGACTTAAGTATGTATATTCTCCAGCAAGTGCAAAACTCCATCTTTCACTGCACCGCTGAGTTAATTAGCGTATAGAACAAATGGCGAATGATTTGCTAGTCGGTCGGTTTAATTACTACACTTTTGCATCTTGAGCTACAGCGACAGTTAAATAAGGCAAAATCACACACGTCTATAAGACATTTTTCATCTTCTCTCTGCAGCGTGCAGCTGGAATCTCTCTGGATACTTCAGATTCAATAAAGTAAACCAAGCAAGAAGGGCTTGAAGTTTACAAATGCGATGTGAATTACAACACAAGATATGTGTGACATTGTTAAAACCACGTGACAACGGGATAACTATAACAAAAAGGCAAGACATATTATCAGCTCTCTGTGCCTGTCAGGAGCACTATGAATAGCAATGAGTCATCAAGGCTTTTATGCAACTTGGGACAAAAGTACAGACCTTGTTGGGAAGAGCAGGAGACATAAACAGCTTCTGAAGGTCCCCAGAAACCTATTAAAGTCTTAATGATTCAATTTAATAACATATTTTAATCACTTTTTTCCCCTTTTTTATTGTAGTCGACAGGGGCATCTTTTAATGTCTGAGAGAAGTAACCATGACAAAAAAAATGGTGATAATTATCTGTCTAATATGTGTGGGCGTGCACGATCATCAGCACGCGGAAGCCAAACGACACATAAAATATTTCAAGCAACAAAAAAAAAACATAAGGATGATAGAAGTGGGCAAGACCGTGATGTGCTCATTATTCAAAAAGGTTTAACGAGCCAACATTATTTCTCACTCTTGAAATGACACAGTGCTGGAGCAACATTTGATCATCTTCAAATGATTTTTATTTATTTATTTATTTATTTTTGCTCTTGTTCCTCGCATCATCTCAACGCTGCTAAGCTCTAACTCAATGCTTCCACCTAGCTTTTCATCCACAGAAGACACCTTGCTTTTACTACCGTGGAACCCAGACAGAAGTGCGAGCCAAAATGTACAAAAATATCCCACCCTCACAGATGAATCATCATCTGTTGCTTCTCCGCAGGCCACTGGGGTGTTTTCTGATCAGAAGGCTGAAGACTTCAAGGAGAAAAAAGTCAAAACTTCTGACCCGGCAGAAGCAAGAGGAGACAGAGAGCAAACAGAACCGCCCTTCTGGTGTGCCCCAGGCAATTAAAGACGGTGCCGAGAGGTTGAAACTGTGTGTGTGCATGAGACCAGTGGGGAGGGGAAGGAGGGGTGTCACTTACCTTCCTGCACGGCCTGGAAAGGGTTGTTAGGCTCAATAAGTTTCACGGAGTGGGTGATTTTCTCGCTCTGCAGAATGTCGTCACTCAGACTCAGGTCTGAGATGGCGAGTTGGAAAATCTCATCATCTCTCACAGCATTTTCCTCAAATATGGCACCTGTGGAGAGAAACGGTGTGTCATCTGCAGAGAAGGAACATTTGCCCTCTGAAGCTGCAGGAAATGGGTCTGATTTCACCTGCAATGATCAGCTAAACGCAGACACCTGTCGATGCTTGTCAAAACCCCATTCCTCATTCGCAACTCCTAAATTTGTGCAGCGGGTGAATCCCCTGTGTGTGACTTTGACTCTTTGGACAGCAACAAGTTGTCTGCATGTAAATATTTTCATTTGATGCGTAAATTATTTACTGGAAACCGAATAAATTAAAGTGTTTTATGCTCATTAGATCAATCACACTCAACCTACTCAACATTAAACCTATTGAATGAGGGGTGATGTGGATAAATTGTCTCTCTGCTCCAGCTGCTTATCAAAATAACATTTGGGAGAACACATACATTACTGAGAGTGGGGGTTTCAGGGAAAAGGGGAATATAATTGAGGAACATCCTATGCAGAGCAGCAGCCAATATGATCTGGATGGATTCCTACTGCTGTATTCAGCCAGGGACTGAGCACCTGCTGCTTGCCAGACTGTTGCAGTAAACTGAGAGCAGCAGCAGCAGCAGCAGCAGCAGCAGCAGCGGAGGAACACCATGATGGAAATTTGCTCACAGTGGCATTGACATTTTTATCAGAGAATACAAGGTCGGTCATTACGACAAGTGAAAATATCTAAGCGGCTGATTTTATACTTAAAATGAAATGCGATGCTGAGAGAAAAGCAGCCGCATCCTCCATCTCTGCATCCTTGAGTGTGAAGTTTGAGCACAAAGAGGCTCTATGCCCTTTGCATCTCTAAAACCAAACTCCTCCAGCACTCCCTCTCTCCTGCGTTTGACATTGCAGTCACGTTCTGGTGAAAGTTGAAGCTTTTCGGCTTCACGAGGCGAAAGAAGAAAAAAAAAAAGCCTCAGTAATTTGGCTGCTGGTCATCAGTCTCTTCACAGCTTTTATAAAGACAGATTTATTTTTTTGCTCATTGTAATGTGTGTTGAAAATAGACTGCAGCTTTTTTTCATCTGAAGGCAACGTAGAAAAGTGAATGAACTGTTTGTGAAAAATAGCAGGACATGTAAGCAACAGCTAAATGGATCTGACTGAAAGCCTAAGAGGCAAGGTCGCTTTAAAAATAACAACTTTTCATCCGGTTTGAGAGTCAAAGTGTTGCTTAAAACGCAGGGATGCGAGCTGAATAGACTATTTATCCCGCCCTCTCACTGAAATCCTGCGATCAAGGCAGAATGAGGTGGCTGAGCTTTTATTCCCACCTGTCTGACAGCATTTTCTTTTTCTCCATCGGACGCTTACCGATATGAATGATCGAGTCCGCTCTGGCCGAATTGCGTTGCAATATCCAAAAGGAAAAGCAAATCAGCAGCAACTCCATGTCGGGATTTCAGTGAAGCAGATCATCCAAGCTCGACTCGGCTGTCCTGTACGGTCCAAACGGAGCTCCCAAAGAGGGAAAAAATAAAAATTAAAAAAAGAAAGAAAAAGATGATTAAAACCCTATGAGGAATGAAGCTAATTTCCTCCTCCTTGGCGGAGCAGACACGTGTGGGGGGTGGGGGGAACTGCAGAAATGACCAGTTTTCCCCCTCCTTCTGGTTTGTTTTGAACCAAGCGGACCGCAGGAACAGGAAGGTGGGCTCATAGGGACGAGGAGGAACCGATGGGGGACCCGGGGTAAGACGAGCAAGCCCGGTGAGAGACGGGCGCACCTCCCTCACTCTCTCCTCTCTCCCTGCGCTCCGGCGTCTAAAGCATGGCAGGCAGAAGGGAAATAATAAAAAAAAAAAGGAATTACGGAGGAGGGACACCCCTGTAAGTACACACACGAAGAGACGCTCACATACACTGACTCTCCTCAGTCCTCTGTGAGTCACGTGACTGCGGAGACTTCACGACTCGGCTGCTGTCCCGACGAGTCGGGCTAGAAATGATCTGGACTCGACGGAGAAAGACGCGCGGAGGAGCCGATAATTGAACAGTTGGAGGGAGACTTAAGGGGGGGTGAGGGGTAAACGGCATACCCCAAGCAATGAAAGGTCAATGGCGAGGAGAACTTTTCTTAAAAAAAAAAAAAAAGTAGTTTTTTTAAGAGGGTAGGTGGGGCGTGTGCGAGAAAAGGCGTCCAGGAGACAGCGGAGAAAAGGGATTTACGCACAGCTTCTCCGCCCGAGCGCACAGGAGTTAAAGGAGCAACATGCAGGGACATGAAGGGAAACAAGCATCTTTATGTTTGAAAATAATTTGTTTTCAGAAAACCCGTTTTAGTTGTGTTTTATTTATTTATTTATTTATTTATTTGTCCATATGGGATCATGCTCGTTGTATCTGTCGTTTTGTGCCATTTAGCTCCAAACCAAACCTCCCTGCGATGCTCAGAGCTGAACCAAGAGGCTGAGGCATTGATGGGCATAGCCTTACAATTAAAGGATATTTCTCGTGGCTGTAATCCAAACGGAAGTATCTGTTAATTGTTTGGTTAAGTCTGTCGGAGGCGCAGAGGAAACTTTCAGCACCACCAGCAGCTGGACAGCGCCTCCACCGCTCACTGGATCTGCTCGTCTGTCCAAAGACTTCAAAACTCATTCATTGTGTATTAAATGTTTTCTTTTATGCAATCTTGACTTAAAAAAAAAAAAAAAAAATCTGGTAAAGTCTAAACTTACATCCATACAAATAATTTCTTAAAGGTCTAAAACCACACACTACCCCTATTGGTTGCTTTAGGTATTGCATCTGCAAAAATAAATAAATAAATAAGCCTTTTTGAAAACCGACTGGCGTTTGCATTAAAAATAGACTCAAAAAGCTTAAAAAGAGTCTTTATTGCAGCAATAATTTGGATAATTTACAATCCAAGACCATTTTCCTAAAGTGGAAGTGAGATCATATATGTGTGCATGAATGCCAACACTAACACACATACACACACATGGTCCTACTGGACTTACTAGTTAATGGGTGAAATGCAGCTCAGAATCCTTGTACTTCAGGCAGGTGCAGAGGTTATCCACATCCATCTAAAGAGATGTGTCTCATCCTGTTCAGGCTCCTCCCATTGGGACACAAATATTTGATTCCCAGATGTAAAACTAAGTGGTATAAAACCAGTTTTGTTCCTGTTGCCATAAGCTTCCAAAATTTGACTTAGCGTAGCACCAGGCCATTTTTGAATCAATTTTTAATCATGTTATATTTATTTTGTATACTTATTATGTGTCTATGTCAAGTTTCCTGTCTGGCAAGAAAGCTGAGTCGCCTCACTGTAACCAAATCTACCTAAGGGTATAAATAAAGTTGATTGATTGATTGGTTGATTGGATCAAACACAAAGGAAGAATCTGTGTGAGAGTTAATTATTGGTCTTTAATCTCAGTTACAGTTTGTTTAACACAGATGGGTTAAAATTGACAGTTGAGCATGAATGGCATCCAAAACTGCATAAAAAATTCAACATATCCTGGTGAGATGTAATACTTAAACTTGTTTCCACTGATGTGGAGCAAGAAATATATATATATATATATATATATATATATATATATATATATATATATTTTTTTTTTTATTTTTTTTTTTTTTTTTTTTTTTTTTTTTTTTTTTTTTTTCATTTTGTTTTTTCATTTACACTTTATTTATACCGGTAGTCTCATTGAGCCACGAGAACTCATTTTCAAGAGAGACCTGTTTAGGGAGCAGATGGTGGGGGTTAAGGGCCTTGCTCAGGGCCCCAGAGTGGGGCAAATGAGGGTGGAGGGAGGTGTGGGTGTTTCACCTTTTCCACCCACATTTTGATGTTGACGATATCGGGAGGTGAACCTGCGACTTTCCAATCACAAGCTCAGTGGAGGCGCAATAATGAAGTAATGAAGAAATTTCATCCGTTTCATACTTATAATGATCTAACATCTAATCTTGAATAAATATAAAAGCTTATGCTTTGTATTTTTTTCCCTTTTTATCATTACTATGATCACTTCCCCCCTCTTGTGTTCAGGCCAATTACACATGACACATACGTTCATAGAATAATACTTTATTTTATCTATTGCATTAATAAGTAGAATATAATTTGCATAACAGCAAGATTGTGTTGTTGTGTGCTGTGTTTTATAGATAAATGCAGATATTTTAGGTTTATTGTGTGGTTGGCGTCAACCTGCACGATCATCAGTGTCAAATAAAATTCAGTTTGTAACTTCTCATGCACATTTACGGGTGTCAACACGAGTTAGTCTTTTATGTGCTGCCGTTGACGAGACATTAGTGGTTTGGTCACGCCTGCAGTTTTCAGCAAAGGTGGAATTTCATAGAAACCGAAGTCATTTATGTTTATGGTTATGAGCAACTGAGAGAAAATGTGTGACAGACTTGTGCTCCTCCTTTTTGGAGAAAGGCCAGAGAGTGAATTTAGATGAAGTCGAGCTGTCGCGTTCTGAGAAATCAAAGCAAAAGTAAGAAAGAAAATCACTTTTAGAGGTTTTTTAAAAAAGGATTTGAATACTCCAACAAGATCTTTACTCTTCCTATTCATATGAGTGACTGGGTGCATTGCTGCTTCTGTAAAAAGTGAAATTATGCCCATTTACAGAGATGAACACATGCTTTGTCTGTATGACGCTGGTCTCTGTCCCCCCATTCAGCTGTAACACAACTGCAGAGTCCCTTCTGTCGAGTGCAAGAACAAAAGTCTTTTTAATCGTGTTCTATTCAAACAAATGCAAAATTAATAACTGTGGCAATTTTGTTTGCTCTTATCCTTGTACATGAAATCATAATTTGATATGTGCTGCGGAATAAGTCGCAGCAGAATCACTTCATTAGCCTTCAGCCTTTATCTGTGGTCCATGAAAGGAAGTGGACAGAGCCAGCAGCGTGTAATCAAATGTACTGTACGTCAACATAATTAGACCATTTGCTGCAGCAGCAGGCTTACATCCATTTTGGTTATACCAATAATATTACTAGTAATAAATGCACAGAAATCATCAATGGACATATGCATTCATGGCAATGTACGTTCATTTGTCGCTACCAGGAAGGCTAGTCGTGTAATGTTTTGAGCTGACTGAAGGGTCCGCCTGTCCTAGTGCGACCCTGGATGTTGTTTTATGAAGCCCCTGCACTGAGCTGGAAGATGGGTTAAACCTGAGACAAGTTGAAAATCCATTCATGTCAAGCAGAAATGTGAAGGGAATAGCAATGTGTCTGCAGCGTTAAAGGTGAAGCAAGGCTTACACTTCCAAATACACAGCCTGGGGTAACATTATAGATTAATCATGTTATGGGAAAATAAGCACAGACTCCATCTGACTCAGAATTTCAATGAGTGGATTGTTGACTATCTCTGTAACGTTGTATGTTTCAACTTTGCACAAAGCTAAACCTGAGTGAAATGCGTAGAGAGAACAAAAAATGTTATTTTTAGGGAGGAGAGAAAAAGTTGCAGTCGGACAGAATGAAAAATTGAAAGCGTATTTTGGTCACATTGGAGTCACAAACTCTGACAGCTGCCACAGCTCAGGTTTTGTGAGTTTTCCAACTTGTAATACAACTCGGGATTCAATCACTGGTGTAGCCTTCACACGTTGAGTGGAGCCTTCATGTGATGCAGGCTTTGGGACGTGATAGATCCGCACAAGGTCGAAGCCTCCTTTGGGTATATAGTTTCTCACAACCACACCTTCATGTAAAGATTCTGCCTAAAGCTGTCCAAGGCCAAAAAAATAAAAAAAAGACCTGCATTTTTAAATCTTACCTGGGTCTAATATATTCCCACAAAGAAAATATGTGGAAAAACACAAAAGAGCATTGACTCTCTTGGCTGTATGATCAATAATAGGTTTAGAACTCTAGAAATAGTTTGTCTCTTTTTTTACCATTGGATTTGTTTTATGGACGGTGGATCAGTTGGTAGAGTTGTTGCCTCTCAGCGAGAAGGTTGCCGGATTGAATCCTGGTCGAGGCCTTTCTGGGTGGGTTTTGCATGTTCTTTCTGTGCATGTGTGGGTTTTCTCCGGGTACTCCGGTTTCCTCCCACAGATGAAAAACATGCATGTTAGGCTGATTGGTAACTAAATTGTAACTAGGTGTGAGTGAGAGAGTTTATCTGTTAGCATCCACATATACCAGCAAGAGACACACAGGAGATTGGTCAAAAAGATTTTCAAATTTATTTACAAAAACTCCAAATACTGCAGTCCTGGACCCATAACAGAACTAAATTTAACACAGGGTCCAACATCTGAAACTAAAGCATAAACTGGCCCATCGTGAGACAAAAAGGAAACTTATACATTGGTTGATCATGCCATTCTGACACAATGGAGAGGGGTAGAGCTGTCATTTCTAACCCGGACCCAGAGCCAGGCCCGGATTAGGACCAGGCCATAATTATGTGCTTAATGTGCGGGCCGGGTCAGTGTTGGTCTTTTGATTGCGT